ACATTTTATTGTTGGATGTAACTGGGACCCCGTGTACATAATTTCGCTCCACCACATGTACCACATGAGGTGCGAATGACAATAAAGAAACTATGACTCTGACTGACTCTGATAAAATCTGAATATCATGAAAAAGTTTATTTATTTCAGTAATTCCATTCAGAAAGTGAAACTTGTAGATTATATTCATTCATTACACACAGACGGATACATTTCAAATGTTTGTTTCTTTTAACGTTGATGATTTTAACTGACAACTAATGAAAACTCCAAATTCAGTATCTCAGAAAATTAGATTATTACTTAAGACCAATAAAAAATTATTTTTAGAAATGTTGGCCAACTGAAAAGTGTTTTTACTTAGCCCTTTTTTCTGCCCTTCTTCATCTGTCCCATCAGACCACAAAGTGTACATATGGCACAGACGTGGCGAACTTCCTATCGCTGAGCTCACAGGCCATACACGCACCGTTAACTGTGTGAGCTGGAACCCGGCCATCCCGGGCCTCATGGCTTCTGCCTCAGACGACGGCACTGTGCGCATCTGGGGTCCGGCTCCATTTCTTGACCCGCAGGAGGCAGATGGACTCAACGGTAATTGCTCTCTTCGCAGCAGCAGCGATTTGATCTAGTTTTTGCTTTTGTGTACGTTTATGCTTGCAGAGTTGACTGGTTTGAGACTAGTATAGCTGTTGTTTTGGTTTAGAAATAAGTAGAGGTTATTGGTAATAGATAAATGTGTTAAAATGAGGCTTTTGTGTTGAATTTTCTTTCTTCTTCAAAAAGAAAATCTTGCTGTCATTATAATATGGTTTATTTTTTCCTTCTCAGAAAATTGCAGTAACATGGACAGTTGATGGTCACTTTCTGAGCAGATGGCATCTCTCTTTGACAACAATCTGAGAATCCCACAGTACAACAAAATATAAACAGGCAACCAAATCAAACGTCACCAGAAAGCAAGTGAAGTATAACCAACAAAGTGTCACCAAAACAACAAGAAATCAAAAGTGAGAAGAGTCGCTCTCCTGACTGGCCGATATGTGTGGCGGACACATGATGAAGGATCTCCTTGGAAATTAATGTCCCCATCCAAAAATCTGATTCCAGCCTAGAGGCCTGGAAAACCAGTCTGTGTCCAGCAGGGTCCTGCTCTGGTGAGCTGTTATCAGCCGTTCTACATGCTTCTAACTGACCTTTCCTCCTCCATTTCACGGCGCCATTGTCAGACATGTTGGATCTTCACGAGTATCCGTGGAGTCCCACCTCCACCTTGAGTTTGGAGCACATGAAGTTTCTGTGATGCCTCCAGACAGACAGAGCAGCCGTCTCCTCGTTGGACTACAAAAGTCTGCCTGCTTGTCTGTGACGTCACCTGTCTGATGTCTTCGTGGACCTGGGTGGGGAGTTGTGAGGGGAGGATGGTGCATAGGGGGATATAGAAACTCTCTTGTGTGTATGTTTTCCTTTCCCCCTCATACATGCCATGTTCTTTTTAAATTCAACTATTTGGACAAAAGCTGAAAAATAAAACATTGACCAACCAGCTGACAACGAACATAACTAGGCTATGCTAACTTTTGGAAGTATTTTTTATGATAGTCTTGGAGTTTATTCTCACTGAAGAGGTGAATCTTAGCTCATGCAGTGCACACGGAAAACTTCATCAAGAAGATTCTACTTTGCTTTTCAACATTAGGAACAACGAAAAGAAAACAAACTTTTTTTAATTCCTTAATTTAACTTCTACTAAGGAGAGTCGCTGTAATATTTCAAACCGAAAACACCCCAGCAACCGAGCTAGCTGTCGCACAACTTCATACATCTGACTAAGAGGAGGACAGAGATATTCACAGGTCGCATATCAACTGTGAGGGGGGGGGGGGGGGTTCGGTTGGAAATATATCGTAGACGCCCTTCTAGTGAGAGGGAGTGCTGTT